CTTGACTTCATTCTGACTTTTTCATACACACACACACACACACACACACACACACACACACACCATGACGCTTCACCCGTGTTTGCTCCCGCTAGCTGCTCCCATTCCTCCAAACTTTTTCTGATCTCCTTTTCCTCTTTCCCTCCTGCATCATTCCCTCATGTTCCCTTTATATTTAACATCTTATGCCCAGATTCAAACACAGAACCTTAACAGCGTACTATGCTCTGAGAAGCAATAGTCAGGATTTCCCAGCCCAGAGGTTCAGTGTGAAGAATTGAAGAATTAAAAGCTCAATCAACTCATACACCTCTATAACCCAGTCACAATGTCTCTGTGACTCAATATTTACATCTGTAAAATGGGGATAACCATAATTCTGACTCAGAGAAACTAAAACATCTAGCATATACAGTATACATGTATGACATTCTCAAGAAAGAAAAATTGTTAACTATAATCATCATTATCATTTGTGCTCATTTTGGAAAAAAATTAAAAACCGTGGAAGGAGCATACAAGACAAAGCTAAAATAATTGAAAGTATGTTAAACTCTTTACTCTTTCCTTTCCAGTCTTTTTATCCAAGGGTGTTGCATGGGAGCTGGGTGCTGGAACAATCACACTGTATATTCAGTGTGATTCAAACTCCCATGCAGCTAAGACTAGCTACAAAAGTTTCCTTTCCTTTCCTTTTTATTTTGTTTTAGAAAATGGTCTCATGTAGCTCAGGCTAACGAAGCCTTAATTTCACCACATTACACACAGCCAAGGGTGGTATTGAACTCCTGATCTCCCACGGGTGGGATAACAGGCATGTCCACCATGCCTGGCTATTACTTCATCTATAATTTCACTTGAACTAATATTAGCTATCTAAGTAAAATGTGACACCACCATCTTCTGTTATGTTTTAAAAATCAAGGATTTAGCCCATTGCCTCCTGGGAAAGCAATAGATCATTTGCCCACAAAGCAGACACCGGTGGAGACGCACAGTCCTGCTTCACCATTCCAGGAGTGTGAAGGGTTTTCTTTGCAGGCTTGACATCCGAAGTAAACTCACATGGGGAAGGGAAGGGCTTGCAGACAGGAGCTGTGGTTGTGGCTACTTCGCTCCACCACATTTCTGACTTGGCCAGTTAATGAGGGGCACCACCTACTCTTCAACTCCTTGCATCCCCTGATGGATGGAGGTGGAGCTAGGCTCCGTCTTGCTGAGAACCTCACTGGGCTGTGACAATGCTGGGCTACAGTAATAGTGAGGATGGATACTGCACCCAAAGATAGGGAGACAGACGGGATTGATTGCCTTGGGTTTCATCGTGCAAGGAATGAGAAGCATCATTCTGGACACTCAGCCTGGCCTTCTCTTTCTGGCAAGTGCTCCCACGTGCCCGGATGTGTAAGTCAGGTGAGCTGTTCACTGCTCTCTAACTCTCATATTTCAAAGACAAGGAAGATGGAAACCCTCCTTCTTGGACTCGTGTCTAAACTATTTTAACATCACACTTAATTAATTTTCAACTGACACAAAAACGGGGAGGGGAAGAGTCATTACTTCAAACTCAGCAGCAGCAGCAGCAGCAGCAGCAGCTACTGGATGCAAGAGTCAGGCATAGCACAAGTGACTCTGAAGTCCCTGGTGGACCGAAGGATTTCAATCATGATGGAAATGAAGAATCATTGCTTCCCCAGGGGAGAAGGAAGACAGATTCAGCAGTCTACACCCCCACCGGACCCTGGGTGATCATTTGAGTTGACCTAGGGACCAACATTGCCCTCCTCACCTCTGACCAGTCCCCTGATTTCCAATGGGGACAAGAGAACTCATTGCATCTCTGTACGACAACTTTCTCCTGATGTGTGCATTTGCTATCATCCAAGACATCATTTTGGGTGTTGACGCAAATAGCTCTTCTTCTCTGGGTACCACCATCACAGCTTTTAGAACACTAGGAGCATAAACAATAAAGAAACTGGGCATTCCTGAGTGACTTATAAAATACGCTTAAAATCATGGCTACACTGTTTCTTTCAACCCTTAAGAAACGAGTGCCTACCATAGCTGATTCTAGTTTTTATGTGGGAGATTCTTTTTCAATCTTCATTATGAGGTTTATCCTGAAGTCAATATTATCTCACTGGCAAATTGAGACTAAAAATAGGCTATAAAAATGGTTGGCTGATTAGCTTCACCATGAACAATTTTCTGGATGTTATGCCTGAGTCAGACATTGCAATTTAACCTTGGGATTCTTTCTTGCAAAGCTTGACTTGGCCAGGCATTATAAATCAATCACAGCTCTCTTTTCCATCAAGTTTAAATGGGTTTCGTAACACAATCCAAGAAGGAGCCACCATCAACTCATTGAATTTAGTATCCAAGACTCTCTCAGAGCGAGAACCGACTTACTTCTGTCCAGGCCGAATAGCGCCAGCCACCTGTGTTACATTCTCCTGAGCATTTCTCCTGGTTGCTCGGTTTGGGTTGACCGCTGCAAAAACTGTCATCGACTTTCTCAGACCTCCCATCCACCCTGCTGTACTTGGCACAGTAGATGTCCAAAGTGCGGTAACCCAAACCACACTGGGCGCTGCATTCGCTCCTGCTGGCCACGTGCCACCTAAGCAGAAATAACGGTGGAAAACCAACAACGCATTACATTTATGTGTCACATCCAACTAGCGGGAAAGGTGATTTCTTTCTTTCTTAATTCAGATATGATGAAAGCTCAAAGCCACAGCCAGTTAAAAATCCAATTTCAAGCCAACGTATCCATGTATTTTTCACAGCTGCCAACGTACATGGAAGTCACAGAACCATAGCCAGAAATGCTATCTCTGCGAAGAATCTGCCTGGTACAGTTCTTCTGAAATTCAAGCCGCAGAAACAAAAAAAAGGGGGGAGGGGACTCAGCATAGCAAAAAGAAAAAAAAGGGCAATTTTTATATTTCAGAAGTCCAGGCAAGCATCTCATTTGGCTCCTTAGGCCCGCTCTTGGAAAACTCACCTGCAGGTTTCCCCTGTGAATGTGGCTATGCTTGTAAGTGCTCAGTGACTATTCTGATAACAATGCAGGAATGAATAATATGTAGTGTAATTGAGAAATTTCAAGTGCACTATACATGGTGTACATTATTATTATGCTGCGAAGTAAAGACGTAAGCTTCTTGGGTCTGACCACCGGCCCAGCTTCGGGATCAAGAAGAGACCCTGTCTCAACAGAATGCAGCAGAGAGTAATGAAGCAGGACTCACGGCCTCCTCCTCTAGCGTGTGAAGCAGGCACACACCCTTTCACATGAGCGCATATACTATACACATATACACACATGACAGTAAATTTCTTGAGGACAGCAGGCATTGTGTGTGTGTTTGTATGTGTTATGAACATGTGTGCCAGTGTTAACTGTAAGTGTGTGTCTGTGTGTGTGTGTCTGTGTAGATGTAAATATGTGTGGGTCCATGTGGAGGCCACGTCAGGTACTGCTTCTCAGGTGCCCCTCTACCTTGCTGTTTTAATCACATTTATTGTGTGTGTGTGTGTGTGTGTGTGTGTGTGTGTGTGTGTGTGTACCAGGTCTGGCGGTCAGAGTACAAGTTGTGAGAGTCAGTTCTCACCTATCATATGGGCCCCAGGGCTCAAACATAGGTCATGAAGCTTGGGGCATGTGCCTTTCCCCCCTAAACTGTCTTACTACCTTACATTATTTTCTGAGGGAGGCTCACTGAGACCCGGGACTCTCTGATTTTGTAGGCTGGTCGACCAAGAAACCCAGGGCTCCTCTATCTCCCCAGCTTTGAGGTTACAAGGCCACACCATTCTACTCAACATTTTAAGTGTGGGTTCTGGAGACTGAACTCAGTTTCCTGGGTTTGCAGAGGTACCTTACAATTGGGCTGTCTCCCTAACCCTACTTCTCCACTTTTAAGTCCATCAGAATTGGCCACCTTTTACTCCCTGATATCCACGATGAAGCCTTCAGACTCACTCAGGGGCACAGCATAGACTAAAGCCTACTCTTATTTTTACAGTGCAATAGGAACAGAGTCCGCAGTGCTTGGATTTAAAACATAAATTAAAAAAAAAAAGTTAGAGTTTTCTGAGTCAGCGATCTTGAAATGTATTTGGAAATCTAGAAAAAGATCATTTCCTTCTACTCTCCAGGCGATTTATTCTCCACTGTCAGTTCTCGACATCTGAGCGCTTGGGTGGCGTGCCACTTCTCAACGTCCTGACAGTTCACACACGCACACCTGTCTGGGGGAGGAGTCGGGAAAGAAAGAGGACTAGAAGCCAACACGCTTATCAAGGAATTTCTCAGTAATGTCCGAAAGTAGGTCAGAGTTGAGCACTGGCAAATAAAGCGGGCTGTGGCTTTTCCATTACAGCATCAGGGAGACAGCGTCAGGGAGATTTTGTTCCAACGCGGTAAACGAGGCCTTGTAAGCTCGCCCTTTATCTCATCCTGTCACAGGCCGCTGGGGCAAACTGTCACTTCCTAGAGGAAGTGAGGTGAAAAAAGGGAGCTCATTCAACAGAGGCATCTGGAACTTTCATCTGCACTTTGGTTTTTGGCTACCTCTCCGTGGTCTCCAGCGTCACTTCCCTGTGGGAAGCCTATTTACCATCTGGCCAAAGGAGGGAGGTGTCCTGACAGTTCAGGCTGCCAAAGTCACTTCCCTGATATCCCATAATCCCTAGGGGTCCAAGCAGAGATCCTGGAAGAATCTGCAAGAAGTTCATGGCGCTACCTTAAAAAAAGCAACAAAACTCAAAATGATATCTAATTCGCCTTATATTCTTTCTGGACAGTGATGTGTTCTTTGGCACAATGTACTCATAGTTCATTTTACGGGCAATAATAAAATATTATTACCCTATTCACCTATTAAATTTCAGGAAAGTATTTTCTAGTCAGGCACGGTGGTGCGTACATGTGTCTTGGTACTCAGGGGCTGGAGAACTGTGGACTTACAGAAGCTTATCCTACATAGAGATCTCCTGCCTCAGAAACCTGAAGACTGAGGATATACTTCAATGGCAGAGCCCTTGCCTAGGAGGCGGAAAGTGATGTCTATGTTCAGCCACCAACACTGAAAAAGTAAGACAAAACCCATGTTCCAATATGTTAACAAGTGAACATCAAGAAACATGTGTTATGTCAGTGCAGGAGCAGCAATGGGGGCTGGCGGTGAAACATCTCTGAGAACTACCAGGTGAAATGGGTTCCTACCCTGGAGCTCTTCAGAGCTTCACAGCCATGATCAGCGAGTGCCGTGAGCCTCCATGCGAGCAGACAATGTTTTGGAGGGCCGCTCAGACACAGAGGCTGGTGAACTCCACCAGACTAGCGATCCACAAACATGCTTTGGGAGAAGCTATTTTGGAACTTGACCAAGCAGTAACCATTCCCTCTCCATTTTCTCGGTGGTGCACACAGCTAATTGGCCACACTTTGGCATAAGTTTTGATTAGACGAATTGTCAGATGGGCAAAGGGGACGGTGTATCTTCCTTAGGCTTGGTTTGCATCTCTGTATATTTTAGCAGGCACCTTTAATTTTTTTTCCAGCGATCAGCAGAAGCCAGTAAGAGATGAGTCTGAGCACCGAGTGAAAGCCATAGTCTCTCAACTGACTTTTAGGCACGAGCATACGCGTGCCTAGTTAGGTGGCTCTAAAGTTAATCCTGAACTCTTTCTGCCACTTGCTCCTCACTTCCTCCCCACTCTGATCTGAAGGGAGAAAATCCCTTTGCCTTCTTATCTGCAATCAGAACTGCTTTTGTCATCCAACCCTGGTTTCCGGCTGCTGTCCTCACTTGGCCTCTGCAGAGTTGTTTTTTTTTTTTTTTTCAAAAAAAAAAAGTTTCTAAAAGTAGACTCTGAATGGGGGATTTAGAATAACACATTGACCTAGCTATTGGTCAGAATTAAAAAAAAAATTGGGCCAAAGATTTATCTGCTATTTTGAAAATATAAATGAAAATCAGAGCACGTGTTATTTAATCAGCAGGCGGTGGGTATGAATGGAAGCTCCCACACTTATTACCAGAGGGAGCCTGAGTCAATCACTTCGTCTCATCAAGCTGAAGCTTCCTGCAAGATGGGGGAAACAGGATCCACCTCATAGAGGGAGTAGTAATTGGGACAAGATGGACATTTAACAACTGCAGAAGACACTCAATAAGTTAGCTATGATTATTATGACTATTGCTATCCTTGGAATTTCATTCTCCAAGAAACTTCTATTTTTGCCTCATACCCTTCATTTTCTGCAGTGCTGAAGATCAGACCAGAGCCTTGTCCATGCTGCAGCATCTTGGGCCTTTGGTTTAATGAGACAGGGTCTCACTGGGTAGCTGAGGCTGGTCTCAAACTCTCAGCCTTCCTACCAATTCTCTTGGGAGGTTGCAACTTTGTTAAATCCATGGTTGATATTTTACAATTTTTTTTTCTATTTTGGCAAGAGTACTAAGAGCATTGGCGATAAAGGTCTTGAAGAGATCAGGGTGTCCCGCCTCTGCTTCCCTGCTGCTGAGAACCCAGACATAAGTCACGATGCTTCCACTAAGTCTGAAGCATTGGCCAGTGAGGAGGCAGCCCCTTGTGATATTTTCTGCAGCCTGACTCTTCTGAGTTGATCCCACCTTGTCCTGCACAGACCTTTAAGATCTGGGTGAACATTGTGTTTACAGCTTCCCCTGCAGGAGAAACTAGCACCATTGCTCCCCAAATTGTGGCTCGTATGGAGGTTGCTCAAAGAGAAAAGTACTTGGTTCTTGAAGAAACAGGGCAAACAGTAACTCTGCTTTGAAAAGAACACTTGCTAGGTAAACTTGGAATAGGATTATTAAAATATCATTTGTTTGTTTTTACTGTCACATTCTATGTCTTGAAATGCTTTGTATAGACTTGTTTTCTTTTTTTTTTTTCAGACTTGTTTTCTTTGGCATCATAAAAGGAGGAGGTTTAGTGGTCTCTGCAGCATTCCTACAGTATCTGCATGTATCATTCAGGATGTGACAAGCTCCAATCTGATTCAAACATGTGGAGAAAAACCACACACACAGAGCCCCAGAATGTCCCAGAATGGATGGGACAGGACAGACACTGGTAGAGATGAATTCTTCGTATGTGGAATAACAGAAAGGGACACACGAGGGCCATGCTACAGAATTAACAAAGTAAGAATGAGAACAGCTTTCTTCTCGAGTTGAAGCACACAGGCCCTCCTACCAGATGGACCACGTCTCACCTTAGGCTACTATGCGAACCAGCGGGATCTAAAGCAACTTGCATAGCAACTCTCAGATTTAAGATTTTTACACATAAAACAATGATAAAATCTATGTTAGAGATATGGTTTGAATAAGAATGGCCCCATAGGCTTCTATATTTGAACGTTATCAGGGAGCAGCACTTTTTGGGAAGGTTTAGGGAGTGTGGCCTTGGGAGAGGAAGTGTGTCCCTGGGACTTCAGAAGCTCATGCCAACTCCCTCACCTAAAGGTCAGGGGGTATCTCTTCTCCAGCACCGCGCCTGCCTGCCACCATGTGTACCACTATGTGTGCCACCATGCTCCCCGCCATGATGAGCACGGACTAAGCCTCTGAAACTGTAAACAAGCTCCCAATTAAATGCTTTCTTTTTATATAAGCGTTGCCTTGAAGGGGCAGGGGATGGGAGAAGAGGAGGGAGGGGAAACTAGTTGGGATGTAAAACAGACCAAGAAATTTAATTAAAAAAATGAAAAGAAATTAAATAAAAAGAGTTGCCTTGGTCACAGTGTCTGTTCATAGCTGCGGCACAATGACTAAGACAGTAATAGTAACTGAAAAATTAATAGGCTATTAGTTGTATTAAAGGGTAATAAAAACCATCCTACTAATGTGGGGATAGTACATACAGCTGTTAAAAATAATTCTTAGCTTAGTGAGACTCTCTCTTTAAAAGTAAAGAGAAGGTGGGGGTTGACTCCGGGGCCAGAACACTGGTCTAGCATGTACAAGTCCCCCAGTACTCGGAAAGCAACAACAACAAACACAACATCCACAAGAAAACCCAGACCTCAGAAAGGACTTCCTCTGCCATAATTACTTATAGGAGATATAGTGATGGCTGGATTCAGGGCAATCTAAAAATGTCGTCTTCCTTGGCCTGTTAACCTTGCATCTCAAGGAAGGTGTACATGAGTTCAGGGACTACTCAGTTCAACTGTTACTTGCATTTCCCACCCCCACCAAAGACTCCTTAATTCTAATTTGACTCAATCGACAGATGAAACCGGGTTTATATGGACACTACCTAAGATAAAATCTGCCTAATATTTACATTAACATCTACTTTGTAACGTCTTGCTTTTACAATGACTTTTGTCTACACTTTTTGACAAGATGCTGAGCAACCCAGGCGGTGACAATCGCTTCAGAAAAAGTGTGGTAGGGTGGAAAGAGCCTGGTTTGAAGTCAGAGCCTCAGGCTAGGATTGGAAGATCTTTGGCACACCTTCTACCATTGCTTGTTGACTCCTAGGACAGAACACTAGTAATTCATCAGAGCACCTTTTCTCAGGCACACAAGAGGGCCTTATAATGTGGTGATGTGGAACCTCCAAAACGCTTATGTGTGTACTCAGCTACTTGTGAATGGAGAGACCTTAGCACATCCTCCTGCTATTGTACACTAGTGAATGGAGAGACCTTATCAGACTTATCATTCTATGCTAATGAGGAGATACCTTATCACATTCTTGTACTATTCTATGCTAACAATCTCTCTTCTGTAAATGGTCAAGTAGTCACCAGCCTGACAGGCAGATTACACTGTACAGCCTTCCAGCTGTTAGATATTTACATATGACACAGTCAACCTCTCAGGCAACCGCAACACTTGAGAATTCTCCAACCTCTCAATTATTTCTCCCATCAGGTGCCATACCTTTCTTAAACACAGACTAGATAGTTGTATTTAGAATTTCTTCTCATTCCCTCATGCCTTTTACCTTAATGCATAGCGTCTTCTCTTTCCCCTCTGTGTGTCTTTGTGAGTGGTGTATGTGTATGGCCTGAAACTTTTGTGTACATACAAATTCTGCATGCTGTCTACTCTGGATGGAAGGGGAACACCACGAGGACATAAGATATGACTCAGTGATAGGGTCAATAGCTCATCTTTGAGTCGTGAAGATCAAGAGAGAATGTATTCTGACAAGTGCTATGCTGTGTCTTTAGGAGAACAAGAGATCCAGTTACAGATCTCGGCTAAGTGGTGTTAGAACCGTCTTGAGCTTGTGTGAGGAAAACACTGGAAGGCTAGAAAAAGGTCAGCAACTCTTGACTCTAACTCATTCCCCACAGAAACTCCCCTCAAGCCCTCCGGACTCTGGAAGAAAGATCCAAGGAACAGAGACCATACCTCAAGTCGCAGTCGGTGCCACACGCTTCAGTGACAGGTCCTGGCTGGGGCAGCCGGTCACATCTTTGATCAGAAACAGTGAGCTGATCAGACTCTCTGGTGCAAACAAGTTTTCGTCTCCGCTCCCCTAAGCAAAGAGTAGGAACATTATGCCAAGGAAATAACCTAATCTAAATGAGATCAAGGACTTGCCTAAGTTTTCTATAGAGTTGGTTTTTTTTTTTTCAGTTTTGTTGGCCATATGATTACTGTTAGACTTTTCAGTTCCACCAGGACAGGACAAAACCAGCTGTCCGTAGACGGTATGTCAACAAGCTGATGCAGCCATGTTCTAATAAAACTTTATTAATAAAAAGAGGGTGGTAGCTAAATTTGATTCTGTTGCTGTAGTTTGCTGACCCCAATTTAGCACAAGGAAACAAAACTAATATAAATTATGACCCGTAAAGCCACATGATGGAAAATTAAAGTGGCAGTATTGATTCCGCATGGCTTCACATATATATTTGAACTTCTGAGGAGAAAATGTAGCATGACCAGTCATGACCTGAATCCTATGAAGTTCAATTTGACAGCAAAAATAACCAGAAAGGTCCAGGTAAATGAGGTGAGAAGATGCAGGTTATATGTATAGAACTGTTCTTTAAAAAAAAAAAAATCAGTAAGTAAATAAAACATCTCCCTCTCCCCCCCCAAAAAATCCTTAAACCCACAAAGGCGGAAACTTTTGAGCAGATACCTTGGCAAGGCTTGCTGCAGGCTTGCCATGGCCCGTGGCTGTTCCAGTAGAACTGTTGAGGTTTGCCCTCAATTGGAATGTTGAATGAGTACCGCACGTCAGGGTTGTAGAGCTTTCCCACCGACAGCACCTGCAACACGGGGAACACTGAAGAGAAGTCTGCGGGCCCCGCAATGCCAAGAGGAGAGAGCCACTGGCCACAAGCCGTGTTTCTACCTGAAGGATGAGCTCTTCCTCGATGCGGTCTGTGGAGTTAAGTCTTTCCACAACATTGTCCGACCCACTGTACTCAATGACGGCGTTCCCCACGCGGACCTCCCTTTTGGACATTGAGACAACGAAGTCTCCATTCAGCAGGAATTCACCTTTACTGTTTGATAAAGCTGCGGATGAGAAAAGAGAATTAGGTGGGGTGCTGCCTAAAACAAAACAACAAACAAAGAAAGAACATTTGAATTGGCAGGGACTGGCAGAAGGATGGGGGCTTCTCAGCCAGACCATGAGTTCATAGCCTTGGTTCGCTGTATGCTAGCTATGTGACCGTGGATGACCAATCCTTCTTGGTCTCAATTTTTTATTGGGCATAGAAACACCCACCCATTATGGTGCCTATGTAAACTAAGAGAAATATTATATAAACATCCTCATCAGCCTGAAGTTAGTTACACAGTATTGACAGCTGCAGGATTATACATAGAAGCTAAAGTATTAAGATCTGATACACACATAGGCTACCAGGTGTAGAGGCAGCGGCCCCAGAAGGAATTCCTTACTTTTTAGAGGGTAGAGAGAAGCTACTGGCAAGTTAAATGTTCCAGAAGCTTTTGTTTGAAGTGAGGTCTCCCTTTGAAGCCAGAGTTGGGCTAAACTCACTGTGTTTATCACTCTCTCCTCAAACTTGCAGTGTTCCTCCAGCCTCTGTCACCTGAGTGCTGGGACTGAGAGCAGAAGTCACCATGACTAGTGTAACCAGAAATTCTCTCTAAAATGACTACATTGCAGTTTGCCATTAAACTGAATCCTAAGAACAGATTACTTTTCCACGTGATATGACTGGATAACCTATTTGAAAATACTGTTGGATTGACCATTTTACTTCCATTGCAATAGCAGTGGCATGATTGATATTACAATGTAATTTGGTTAGTTATAAGATGGAAGAAATAAATTTTCATATCTTTAGATTAATTTCTTAAAGGTGGTACACCTGGAAGGAGACTGGAACACATCCGCCCACATGACTGTCCCCTAGCTGGGGTGAACCTCAGAAAACCCTGCCTCACCCTTAGCTCCTGCTGTGAATGAGCTGCCAGCCATGTCAGATGCAGATCTTCCATGGGTAACAAAGACTAAATAAGGTTGTTCCCTTAGCACCTCAGGCTGTTTCCAAAGCAGGTCACTTACATATGTGCTGTCCACTCCACCACCCAGTTCTTTCAAGTCACACACTAGCTACGCCAAGAAGGGGAAGAAAATGCCACATGCCAGAGTTACAAATTGAGCGGCAATCTGGTTTTGTTCAAAATGCACGTGGTCTCTTCCCATGGCTTCAAGTTGCCTCACGTGCCTCTGCGGAACTGGGGGAATGGCACCCTTCACTGCAAGCTCTCGAATGACTTAAAACCCTTCTCATGATTGGTTCCTACAGATGGTTTGCCCACAGATTGGAAATGAAAGTCCAGCTTTCTCTTGCACTGCATGGATGTGTGATTTCCCGCTGCCAGAGTTAATTCAGAGCTAAGCATCCCAGAGGCAAGGAAGGCTCACAGAACTGGTTACACTTTCTCCTAAAGAGATAGAGACTCAGCAGAGGCAGTAAACATGGTTTTCACCAGACAAGAGATCCCAGTGGAAGGTGACCTTTGCCTGGCAGGCTTTCTGCTTCAGTACCTGGTGAAACAAATTGTTTCCCCCAAACAAGAGACTCCTGCTCCACTTCCTGCTAATGAGATTAGGGAGAAGCTAATTTCCTGGATTGCTGTCCCTCCTGTCACACCCATGAGGTTGCTACAGAAGGTCCGCTAGAAAAACCTTCCCCATCAAAACACACAGGAAGAGCGTGAGACTTGACGAGTCTTTACCCAGCTATCAGGGCTAAGGAGGAAGGTTGTTTGGCCACAGAGAATCAATGACTAGACTCAGCAAGACTGGGGTGGCGGGTTGTAAAGTAGCTAACAGCACCTTGTGTCCAGCCAAGAGTAAATATGCACCGCCCCCCTTCACTGGGCGATGTCAAATCCTCCCTAACCCTGCAAGGAACCATTGTGAAGCTCAGCCCTGAGGTCTGTTTTCACACTCAGTGAGCTGTGACTTGCGGTCAATGCTTGCACGCTGCTCATTCACTTTCAGAGAGGCCATCATGGGGCGGGCAGTGTCGTCCCCATACTGCCCGTCCCTGGATGAATCTTCCTTAATTTTGTTTTCATTCTTTAACAAGGGGATTAAGAAACGTCCAGTAAAGAAGAAAACATCATCAGGAG